AATTTTTATAACTTCAAGCAACCTCTCAGGATAATCCAAAGACTGATTCCTAATCTTAAACCAATAGCTAAAAGGCAAGGCTATGTGAAATATATCAGCAGAGGCAGTACAACAGCAAATTTTAAAGAGGGGCTTTAGAGCTATTATAATGGACCACCTATAGTCATGGAACGATTGGGTCTTTACTAAGTTACGCCTACTGAGAAATTACCACAAAGCTACATCAGCTGGGTGATAAAACTGTACGAGCAGGCCCCGAAGATTGTTGGAACTGGACAGTGTCACTTGATGTAACTGACAATAGCATGGAGTCCAAGTAAGTTAAAAAGCATCAATAATTGAAAATTAAACTGATGCCCCTGCACTCCCACTCCCAGTAGATCCCCTGCCTTGACATTACCTAATAAACATACATTGATACTCGTGTCATTTTCTGAACTCGTGTAGTTATTGAACTATATTGTTGTTCTTGAACTTTGGTGTCTTTATTGAACTACACAAAAAGGAAAACCGAAAAAATGTATCATTAAAGAAGTCTCTTTTTATATTGTAAAAGTGTGATAAGGATGATGATATTCATCTCATGGAAATGCTGAAATTTTTTATATCCTTAGAAGTTTTTTCCCCACCTCAGTTTTAAGATGCGGACGCCCGAGGAAACACATTTTCAATATTACACCATTGAAACGCTTACTAGTGTCCGTTTTCTTGGCTTTTTCTAGTTTTTTTCTATTAACTCTGTAAAGCGATTAAGGCAAAGCTACATACCCATCCTTTCTGCGGATTCTCCTCCTGGACTCTCTGCATAAAGCCCTAAAAATGTTGATGTTGATCAAAAAGTTTAGCTCACGGCACTTTACCCCAGTGATAGATTCTGTTTGACTATTTACAGGATAAAAACCATGTTTTCCTTTGTTTGTGGGGCGAAGAAGCAAAGAGAAAGGCAATGTGAACTTATCTCCATCATGAGCAATGAATGTTTCGACAAAATGATCGTAATTTATAGTGAAAAGTTGCAATACAATAAGCTAGAATAATATCCTTGGTTATCGCCCGACGATTTGATTCAATACGCTTTATTAACATTTTGATACGTTTGACTCAAACAGGAAATCCTTTCAAAACCCTTGAAGATTATAGCCCATATTCTATAAAAAAACACTTGCTTCTTACATTTGTTTAGTTTTACTAAATTGTTAACACAATTTGATAGTCTAGTATGAACATCATGACGCTATGTTTCGTGACCTGTCCACGCCACTTTCGCAATTTTTGTAAACATCCCTGAGGTTTGCGACTTTTATCCCACTGATCATTTTTGCTAACTTATTAGATGACTCACTTCTATCACTAATTGAGAGACCCATACCATATTAACGTCATTTGTTTTTCTCTAGACTAAATTCTGCTGGGCTCTTTAGTTATGCGTCTCTAAAGACGCGCCGGTATGAGTTGTACCATCTGGTCGATCTCGGGAAGTTCTTGATTTTTTACAATGGAAATGCTCTTTCCTAGAATAAAATTGCAATTTTACTATATAGCATTAATAGATAAACACATACCTTCGGTCGTTTCATCGCAACGTCTCGACTTTTACCTCTTAAAACCACGAAACAATTTCGCTCGCTGAATCCATTTAAAGTTCCCGGGATAAATTTCTCGTGACGTCACGATGGCCAAGATCATCCGCCGCGCGATCCCTATAGGAGCGATTGACGAGTTCATCACCCCCCCCCTGGTCCTTGTCTTTGAGAAAATTGCGTCCCAAAAATTGACCTTACAGAGCCATATTTAGTAGACTTGTTGACTATTTTGGGACGCCTTTATTAAGAAGGTTCGTTCTTGTTTCTATTCATAACTACGATTGACAGATGTTTTAAGGATGGAATTGTGGCATAGGCATAGTTACAGACTGAGTGCTGTTATTTTCCAGCCATACATATCGATTAAAAATGACCGAAATTAACTACATTCGGAGCTAACGCCAAAGAAGTGTACGCACACGGTGTGTAATGTTCCAATCGCCAGACTTGTTTGTGTTGAGAGCTGTTTCGCTCAAGTAATATCCTATATTAACCCTGCTAATTGTTCGCAAAACAGTATGTTAATAATTTTGCTCATCTTTTAATGCTGAAATATAACTTCTAAATTACATATTCAGTGAATACAATCGCCTCACGTCACTCCTTGCAGCTTGTATTCGAAGGCACTGAAGAGATTCGAATATTTTTTTTGTACTTTTCCCTTACATAAGTGTTTTAGTTTTCCTTGTGTTTGTCTTTTTTGTAGGATTTGCTGAATACCTTTAGTCAATGAAGACCGAGTAAATTGTGGTCAAGCAGGGTCAAGCACTCTTCTGAGAGGGCACAAATCAATCAATCTTTCTGCATAAAACAGCAACAAAAGTTGCTTTTGTCACGCATGAGAGCATATAATTTATTTATGATCAGAATGTGCTTTAAGCTTTATTCATCACTTCTGAAGAGTGTTAGCTACTCCTTTCTGACCTGGACATTTTGTGTGAGGGTCACTGCATGTATTAGCTACAGAGTCATGTGTTTTAGATTTGGTTAGCGTTTTTCTCTGAAGCAGTCTATATCTAAATCACATTGTTTTTCAAACCAAAGATGGACTTGATTAGCACTATTATTGTACTCGGTCTTTTAGAGATCCAAAGTAACAATGTACCTTTAGATGATAAACCTTACCAAGATGTATTCTAAATCAGATTAATAAAACATATACCTGTACTTGTTTGGGGTATGAATTTTGTTTTCAACAACATAATAATGTGACCAGACAGTCATATTTTTTCAAGCCCTTATCCTCTTACCCCAGGCTAAACAAAAATCCTGGATGTTACTTTTATTTATTTATTTATTTATTTGTTAATAATCAGCTTCTATTTTCTTTGGGAACAGTGTTAATGTTTATTTCAGAGGTGATCAGTTCTATATCATTTAGACTACAATACAAAAACTTAAAGGTTGTTTCATCCTAAAAAGAGGTCAGTATTTCAAAGAATAAATATATTTCTAAACTTTATAAGCCTTATCAGTGGAAGACAAGTGTTTCCTCATGAAAAAGAAGTGAAGGGCCTACTTTTAATCATGAGTTTGCTTCCCAGTTGTATTCTAGTAGTTAACAATTAAGCGTTTTACATAACATTTTTAAAAGCGTTGCAGTTCGCTTTTTCAAAGACCTGACTGAAAATTACCTTGGGTAATGGTACATTTATACCTAAAAATAACAGAAGAACTTGCCGCTTTTCTATAAGAATTGATTTGAGAAAGTCAGAAACAGCATTTCCACGGTGGTCCGCAAGCAAATTTCCTTTCTCTGCTTAGCTTTTTATCCCCGCTTTTTATCATGTTTTATACAGTTCTCAACTACGGCTTTTCTGGCTTTTTGTCACTGATTGTCCGTAAATAAATTTGAATGGAAAGTTATACCCTCGTTTGAGCTGGGTACTTAAAACATCAAGCCTCGACAGTTTTACCGCTAATAAAATCATTATGTCAAGAGTCAGTTGTTAGCTTCTAAATTCGACACTCGCTGAACTTGTATAAAAGCAGAATAGAAGTCGTCCAAACCGTGACAAATAAAATCAAAATTCTTCCCGGTTTTCTTGTGGCTTGTAGAAAATTAGGCTGTGCCTTTTTTTATAGGTGTTTTGTAGCTGTATACATGTAAGTTTTCGTATATTTTCATGAAGTTAGGCTTCCCGTTTGGTGCAAAAAATTATCGGGCGCGGAAGTCATTCTCCGCTCTCACAAGTTTCATTATCATTTACTGTCTTTTGCCTCTACCGCTTTTGTACCCTCTAACTGTCTTCGCCAAGAGCAAGTCCTCTTCATCCTTTACTTCAAAACATGGGCAATCTGGGCAATATACGAGGATTAACTAAAGACGCGCAAAACATCACATGTAAGAGGTTGAATGGCTCTCGATAATGTGACGTCACATTTTTCCACTATGTATTGTTATATTCCTAGACTTACACTCAACTAAACAGGGACTACCATTGGTTGATTCTTGGTCACGTGGCCTGACGAGCTTTGATGCGTGAAAAACTTTTATGCACATTAGCTGGCTGCACATTGAATGTGCAGCCAGCTAATTTGCATAAGTAATTCAAAGCCAGTTTCTGACACCTCTCGGTCTCTTGAGGTGTTAGCTGAACACCCTATGACTTCAAGAAGTCGCCCACAAAAAAGTAATTCAAGCTACCCTAATCTGAAATGAAAGTAACCGCAATTTCCGATAAAGCATTTTTAATCTCCACAATACTTGTTAGCACTATTATTGAGAGAAAAACGATCACGCATGTTGAACACTGTTCCTTTTCGTTTTCCGCCTGAAAACTTATCTTAGTTACGAGTACTATACGGTGATAAAAAAGGGTGTCAAACATAATTTTTCAAAGTCTAATGATATAAACACATTTTCATTATCCAACTCTTCGAAAACTGCTCCCCCAAGACAAACTATAAAACTAAGATACACATACTATCACGGTTTAAATAACAAAACGGCTTAAAAGTTTTTCTAGCGCCTTTTTCAATCTTGAGCAGTTAGATTTTGTGACCGGTAATATGCTATGGATTAGGCCCGCCGCCATGTGAAAGACATTAAATTTTTATAGAGCAGCTCCTTTTACTGTACTCAATACCAAATTTATCAAAAGCCTTAACTAAATTAAAAGGCATCAAATCGTTACAAAGCCGTAATGGGTCTCAACGGAAACATACACGTGCCGCGTGATATGATTTTGATACTTCTTTGTAATCAGATTATTTCATGTCATAATATTTTCCTAGTAGCTAAACAAAGTAGTCCTGGTTAAATTTCGTCAATTACTAAATTACGAGGCCACCGGATTATTTAGAAAAAATAAAAGAGAGTATGTTGGGACTGCATAAACTAAACAGCGACACGTAAAGCCGCTTTCACTTCCGCGACCGACGGTCTTTTTGCAGCTACCGTAGATAAACCGTCCTTTACAATCTCAATGCTTTGAACTTTAAAATTCCATAAACGGATTTGATCATGAAAGCTAGTGAGTACACGTCACTGTTTATTGAAGGTTTCCCCGTGCCATCAATAAGTTCAGGAGCAATGAAACTGGTCTTGTATTGATCTTTCAAATACGATGGTTTGGGGACAGGATTCTTGGCTTTGCTGAACGCTACACTCTTGCCAAAGTCAATGATTACCGGGTGGAGACATTTGTCTTGACGCTTCTCTAAAACAACATTATTGGCTTTCAAATCGTTGTGTGCAAATCCACAGCCATGAATGAGCTCCAAAGCGTTCGCTGTATCATAGAGTATCCGATTCCATTCTCTCTGTTCGGAAACTTTTTCATTTTTTGCGGCTTTGAAAACTGTAAGACTCTCTTCACCGTCCCCATGAAACTTTAACACGATGCTGACAGGTACTTCTTTCAGGGAAACCCAAACAGAAGTCGGATTCCTGGATGATCCCCAAGTTTGCGCAGAACACGTGCTTCGTGTTTTGCCTCCATTTGTAAACGGGACAAACTATCATGATGGCTGCTGTTACGAGAATTGCTTAAATCTTTGTATTCTCTAATTACAACAGAAATGCCGCGGTACTTTCCCAGGTAGCAGTTCCCAAAAGTGCCACTGCCGATAGACCGAGCACCACTTTTACGGGTCACATTTTCTCTCGCCAGCTCCTTTAAATTCGGACTGTCGATGGATGCTTTTGGACCGACCGCCGGAACGAAAACTTGTCTTTTTCTTTTTTTCTGTTTCTTTTCTCTCTCTTGTTGAAGAGATGCCGAGACAATCCTTTTACCCCGGGGCAAATGCTTCTCGGAATCCTCTAGCCTTCTTTTCCTCTTTGGCCCTTCTTTCGTGGTAGGAGGAAGCACATTTGCTGCACCACGTGTAGTTCTTGATTTCAGCTCAACGACCTCAACCTCTGCTCTTAGCTTGTTTTTCATTTCATTTTTCATTCTCTTCTTTTTTTTCTTCTTTTGCTCCTTTCTAAGATTCTTGTAATAATTTTGTCGTTGTTCTGAAAACTCTTTCTCTCGTTGTTTCCGCTTTTTGTTGGAATCCATGATTGCTTTCAGACAAAAACGATCGACGTCGGACGGACTTTGTAGAATGTTGAAAACAAAGGAGCTTTGTGTTATCGATAAAAAGGAGATATCCTGGCATCTAGTGGTGGATCCAGGCGAAGGATCTAAGGGCGCGGAAACCCCCCCCCCCCCCCCAATACAAACTAAAATGTAAATGCCCCTTAGAGTTATGTAATTTTATTGGCGAAGCGCTGTAACTAAAAATGCTACGACAGAATAAACACGTGCAACATTTGCCTGGTAGAACCAATACCTCTTAACCGCTAAGTATATGTTACCTAATCATATGCATTTTTATGGCATATGAAGTTCCCGGATCGTCCCGCGGGTTTTGATTTGTTTTATATCAGTATTATGGTATCACTGGGGTATCTTTACTGAATATAACTAAGTATTTCAGGTATGCGGCATTATAGCTTTTTTCATTTCAGTCTTGGGGACATTAAAAAAAACATGGAATAATTTGTGGTGCAGTGGCTACTGCTTCGGAGAGTGGTATACTATTACCCCCCACCCCCTGCCTACACCTAAGTTCACTGTAAAACATCAGAACGGGAGGGAGGCCATAATTTAGGAAATCCTATGGTGAAAATTCCTGGATCCGCCCCTGCATATTATTGGTCAAACTTTTAACAACAAACCTGGTAACAATAAAACCGCAGGAAGTAGACGCTATTCCCGATCACGTCCGTATTATCGCACGTTGTTTAGCATGGCTGATACATATTTACGTTGCGACGAATGCTCTAAAAAGTTTAAAACATTTCAAGCGCTTGTTAAGCACTTTGAGAAAAGCCATGCAAACAGTCAAGTTCCGAAAAGAGCTCCTTTCTTTCATGACGATAAAGTAGTGCAGCTGGTAGAAGCTCAAGCAATCAGATCTCCCGCTGTACAAGGCGAATATAAAACGTGGTTGACAGGAGTTGTGGAACGCTTGAATGGAATTCACCATCAGAGGCATAAAAGTAAGTTCAATCTAGTAGCAAAAAAGTGGGTAGGCGGGGTAATACATTAAGTTGGTTTTGAAGGAAAACTTAGGAGGGAGGTAAAACTCGCGTGTACACGTGGCTGATTTGCGTCAATTCATGCATCAGCGCGTTTTATAAACTGTGCATTTGGCTTCATTGTGTGTTCATTTTGGCATTGTCCTCTTAACCTAAAAGAGCTACTGACTTAACTTAAATCATCTGAGTGTATACACTAGATTGGTGGGTTGAAGGCTTTGCGCTGCTTAACAACGTGGTATTTTGACGAACATTATAATTTTCAATATTCAGAATTACACCACACCGGTTCAAATTTTTAATAGTCATACATTTTAAGTGCAAGACTGATTCTTCCTTCGTAAACAGCGAATGTGAATTTCTCGTTTACTCTACTATCAGCGCGTGCGTTTATTTGCCGGTAAAGCACTTGCATAAATGAACTCTTACTACTATAGAATAACAGCCCTACCCAATAACACTAAAAGTTCACAGGAACGCTCATACAGTTTGATGAGCAGTGAGTTATTAAATTGAAACATATAAATAACATTTTCTCTTTCACGATTTTCTTCCACAGGAAATTGGCAAACTTTAGAATACAACATGGTTCCGGCGAAATATTTTCAGCAGTTACTAAAAGACCTCAAAAATCTATGGAGCGTTATTAGGGTCAAATTTAGAAAACAAATTATGTTATGGTGTTTGATATTTCATTCGGCCGAACTACAGAATTATGTTCCAGCGTTGCATGGAATTATGTTCGGCTCTTTTAACTTCAATAAAAAATGCAATAAACTATGTTCGGCTCTTTTAGAATTGTGTTGGGAGTATTTCACTTATAACTAGGCTGGCAGTTTTTTTGAGTTTGGTCCAATTTTGTTCGGCTCCTCCGAATTACGTTCGGAACGTGGCTTCTCGAATTATGTTCGGCAAGTAGACTGGTAGCCTCGCGATAAGAAATTCACGAGGAGTCCCGGGGCGACAAACATTTCCCGCGCTCTCTATAATTTATTCTAATTATTACCAGTGTTCGTGTACCGTTCTGTCGAACATGGCGGACGAGTCGATTTCTGTAGAATTAAGCAGACATGCAACTGATATCATAAGTTTTCTTCAACGAAGTACTGGTCAGAATGATGTAATACAATTCCGCCTCGACTGGTTATACAATGCCGTTGTACGTTATTGTGACAATATTCCTTCTGGGGAGGCAGTACTGGCCCTTATTCAAGAAGCGAAAGAACTGCTAAGAGAAAATGAGAATGGTAGTTGCAGTGAGAACGTCGCGTTTCAAGCAGAGGTTGCAACTACCGGCGAGCGAGGAAGACCACGCATTATCATTGCAAAGGATCAGCTCGAGTTTTTATTAGATTTGGGGTTTAAATCCGGAGAGATTGCATCTCTGCTTGGTGTCAGTGAAAGCACTGTTAACGAAGAATTCGTGAGTATGAAACATTTGTGAGGCAAAGATATTCAAATATTACTGATGAAACTTTGGATGGCCTTGTTGAAGAATTAATGAGAGAATTTCCCAATTGTGGCTACAAGAGGATGACAGGCCTCTTGCTCAATTCAGGTCATAGAATCCAGCAAAGTCGCATCAGGGAGTGTATGAGAAGAGTCAATCCCGAGGGCGTCCTCCTGAGAGTCCTTGAGCTGCGAACTGTTCGCCGGAGAAGATATCAAGTTAGTGGCCCTCTTGCCTTGTGGCATATCGACGGGAATCATAAACTAATAAGGTAAATGTATGAAACCTCGTTACATGCCACTATATCAAACCAGCATTTGCTGCATCCTATTTTCTGGCGTATTTTATACTTTTACTAATCCGTGATGCATGCTGGAGGGCGTTGAACTTAAGGTGTGAAGCAGTTCATACCTTGTGTACGGTGAGAACTGTACACAAGGTATGAACACTAACAAAACTAATGGTATCTAACAATTTTGAAGTGGCAAAACCTTACCTGCACATTGTTCCACCATTTGGTGGTTTAGATACTTATCAAACACAACGACAAGGGTATGAGTGGTGGGGTGGGAGAGTCATCGGAGACCAGGATACTTAAAGGTTTTGACTGTTTGTTAATTTTCAGATGGCGATTTGTAATACATGGTGGAATTGATGGCTTCTCGAGAATGATTGTTTTTTTGAAATGCAGCACAAATAACCTGGCAAGTACGGTACTCGATTGCTTTCTCCAAGCAGTTGGGAGTTTTGGTCTACCTTCAAGAGTACGGTCTGATAGGGGTGGCGAGAATGTAAACGTTGCACGTTACATGTTGAGTCACCCGTTACGCGGACCTGATAGAGGGAGCCATATTGCCGGGCGAAGCGTACATAACCAAAGAATAGAACGTCTTTGGAGAGACCTTTTTTGTGGATGTCTTCATGTATACTACAACCTTTTCTATGCAATGGAACGTTCTGGAATGCTTGACGCATCAAATGAGCTTCATTTATTTACCCTTCACTTTGTGTATGTTCCAAGAATTAACCAAACAATGCAATTATTTGCCCAAGGGCATAACAGGGCTCCCATCTCTACAGAGAGGGGAAAGAGTCCTCTTCAACTGTGGATCTCTGGTGCTGTCTCAGCTTCAAATCGGGGAATTGATGAATTCTGGAGTCAGGTGTGTTTTAAAAAGGGAAGGGTGGGGAGGGAGGGATAAGGACTTTGCAAGAATCTGTTATAGTTTTGATATTCATGCAATGTTATAGTGATTTTCAGACTTTTTTCTCATGTTATCCAATTTGTGGTCGACACAAGTGGAGACGTACAACCTTTCAGCTTGTTTCCAAAAGTGCAGTCACAATAATAGCTCTTACATGTAAAGTAGCTTGGAGAATAAATCTACCTGAGTAGTCTTCATGAACAATTTTCTTCCAGGATTACGAAGAAACAATAACAGATTAATTGCAATTTTTTTTAGTAAGAAGAAGTAAGTCGCAGTACATTGGTTCACTACATGTGTGTGGCATACAGCCATCATGCAATGTGTTGTTTACATGTTTTTCAGGGTGACTACTATGGTGTTGACTGGGATGGCCCTGCACCAGATGTTAGCTTAGATGATGAAACTCCAGTTGAAGTTCCCAACACAAGAAACCCACTGGAACCAGCTCAGTACTCATCACTCACAAACTTAATTAACCCTCTACGCAACAGTGATGAATATGGAGTTGACATCTACCTGGAGGTACTAACATTTCTTCAAGAAACAGCAACGAGCAGTTAAAGATTAAAAAAAGGGACAAATTATATATGAATGAAATGAGTTTAATAAAACATCCAAATATGTACCACCGTTAAAAAAGGTGCAAGAACTTGTAATTACTGATAATGACATCCATTTCTTGGTAACACTAATGGTCTGTCAAATCCATTTTTTAACGTAGAAAGAGTTCTTATATTTGCTTCCAACAAATGCTTGACCAAACCAAAACATTCCAAAGGTGGCTTGTGGTATAACATTTTTCATTTCGAGTCCCTGCGCTAGATTTTTACTTATGAATAACCGAAGAAAAAAAACATCATGATGGCCGAGACTACACTCTGACAAGCTGGCAGAGGAGATACATTTGTTACATTTCAAAATTCAACAGTCATTAACGTGAGCAATGCAGTCAAAACTAGTGGATTGTAAACTGTAACAATATAAATAAAAAGAGATCCTTACGAAGTCCATGTCTAGAATTAAATGGAACCATAACCAATATAATTCTCGCAGGCTTCTAAAAATTTTTCCTGGAAATCCTCAAAACTTCTGTGCACAGTTGGTACCTTTAACACCATGCTACAAGTTTCTGCAAAAAATGCTCGGTTGCTGTTGTTAGAAAATTCAACTTCAACTTTCCTACTAAGGCCAAGTGGAGGAACTTTGTCCAGGGATGTCACATAGCGAAAAAACTTTTCCAGTCCAGCACTTCCTTGTTCTGAAAGAGGAAACATAAAAATGAAGAAATGAGAACAGTCACAGTACCCCAGTGAGATCAAGCTGACATTTATTGGGACAGTAATTCATTATTCCTGATAGGTAAAAAAAAGAGAGAAAAAAACAATTCACAATAGGTTTCCTGAAAACAATTTTTCATTTTTTGTAGCAATACTCTGTCCCTCCAATGACTTATCATGATGACAATGGGAGGGATTCTTGATTTGCAGACATCAGAATGAATGTTGCATACTATTATCTACAAATTCACTTATTGTAAGCATGAAACTAGTGTTCCAAGTTAAACTTGCACCCTCCCCATCATTGTGCTTTTCACATGTGCATCCCTGCTGCCTTGATGAAAGCCCCCTTAATCCAACAAGAAAGCAGGCATGTTTTTTGGGTTTCAGCTTAAGTCATATACATGCAGACACACATCATCATCATTATTATATAACATTTCCACACAAACCATTCTCCAAATTCTGAATGGCTTTAACAAGGAAATAATTGGCCTCCTTGTCATTGTCTTCTTCTTGGAACTCCAGGCATTCAAGTACTTCCTGACTTGTCAAAGCTGCTTGCCAAGAATTCAGGAAATAAGTGCCCATCAGGTCTGGATGGGATTTGATAAGGCCAAGAATTCCTAGTGTCTCTAGTCCTTTACAGAACTGATCCAGTGGCTCTTGCCGTTTTTTCAGCACATCATGCACAATAAGTGTCTGCATTGCATGATTTCTGTTGAGTATTGTGAGAGGCTTCAGCCATCCTGCATTTATAAGTGCATTCCCAAGAAATTCATCATTGGCAACCTCTTGTAGGTCTTCACTGCCTGCAGCAGCAGTCACCTGCGATTCATGAACATAAGAACATAAAGTTTCCAGTCAAATTGGAAGTGACCATCTCCCAGACTCCATCATCAATATTATTTTGGTGGGGAGGAAAAAAGGTTCACTTCCTTATATGCCATTGTGATGATTTTAGATTAGAATGATATGAAAAGTCCTTGTTGTGTTACTGTTTATATATTTAGTGTTAGTTTTGTGTATGGCGAAAAGGTGAATTCTAAGGAAATCTGCGATGAAATAAACATTTTTTTTTGAAGCAATGCTGAGTCAGCATTTTTGTTCCAGATTAAAGCTTGACTATCTCTAAAAACGCATGGTTACCCCAAGCTAACATTAAGGATATTTTTAAGGGGTTATACTGTTACTCTGGTAACCACTTATGGCAACAAAATTATGACATGCTCACTAATGATTGAGCATTTGTGTCATACCATTACTATAACAGTAACTGAAAAAGAGTGGTAGTCCTGACTGATCAAAGTGAACATGCTGGAAAATGGGTAAGACTTTTAGCAGTCACCTTAAAGGTGAAGTATTTTTACTGCTATATAGTGAAACTATTTACCTTTGAGATAAGGTCCTTGAGCTCCAAATCAACAATGTCATCAACTGAACAGCACTCAGGGGAAACAGATTCTGTTGCAATGTAGTTGTAGGCTGCTGGACTAAGACAGGGAATGCCTATATCTAAATGTACGATTAGATATGATACCATTTTACCAGCAAGTTGAAACAACTTGGAGTTAGTGCCATCAATCGAATATAATGGCACTTTCCTATCTTCTGGCCCTTCGAAAAGGTTGGCTTTGGCTGAGAATATTGCATTACGCAACAGTATGCCGTATTCTCTACCTAGCCCTCCTGCGTCAACACCTGCTTCTCCTGCAAATACTATTCTAGGGGCTGCTGTGAAGTCAAACTGTGGATTTTTGAAGACAACAATACTCTCATTCCAGAATTCATCCCGGTAAGCACGGATACGCTTGACATGATCTTCATTTAGTTTTAAGGACCTTTTATGACACTGCATTAGCTCTACCAGAGTTGAGAATGCTTTGGATGCTGGTGGTGTAGTACTGTCTGCACTTGGAGTGTTGAATGGACTTTCTAATAGCTCTGAGTCTGAGTCTGATGTGGAACCAAGACCAATATCCCCATAATAGATGGAATTACAAACATGTGCAGTACCTGCAGTGTGAGGTACGACAATATAATAGACAGGGTCAGAATAATAGGGTTTGTTTGGTAGAGATGACCCCTGCCATAAGAAAAGGTTTCACTACAATAATATTAGCTACAATAGAATACACAGTGTTCACAGTTACCACCCATGTCACAAAATGTTAAGGTGAAAACTGATTCGTTTTTTTATTTCGTATTCTAAAGAAACAATGTCACAAGATCCAGTATGATTTTTCTTGTTATAAGCTCCTCAAAATTAAGTTCCACCTCTCTTCCTCGGTAGTACATGCACATGAATTGGCTTTGGAAAAGATAGTACTAACTTTTACATCCATGCCCAGTACCTATTTTGCTAACATTTCACCTTTACACAAAATACGCAATCAATATACATTTACTCGCACCTGCATTACTGCACAAAATGTCATTTGCTGATTTCTCCAAATCAAAGTTATTCTTTGTGAGAATAAGAACCAGATCTTCTTCAGTTTCACCTAGAAACATTTCCCTCAGAGTTTTTAGGCATCCTAGCAAAAAAGGAAAAGCCAGACTTTTTTATTAGTAAAGTTGCTTGTAAGTTGTAAGTATCTTTGTTCATTTGTTGTTGTAAAATTTCTTACCTCCATTTAATGAACTTGTAGCTTCAAGGTTACCACCTTGGATGTCACCAGAACCTTCACGGATACTACTTTCTGTAGAATTCCCAGAGCTGGAACCTCCTTCACACTCATTGTCATGTGCATGCCATTGACTTAATGGGATCCCCTTTCCACAGTTCAGACAGTCAATTAGAACTGCATCAGCAGATTCTGACGGTTCCTATAAAACCCAAACGCACATCAAATTGATGGTTATGTAACCCTGACCCTCTTCACGATGTCTAGTAACTGAAAACAAATAATGCCTCCAATAATTAAAGGCCAGGCCCCAGTTGTTTGAAGGTTGGATAACGCTATCCAGCAGATAAATCACTATCCAGTAGATAGTGCAGTTTCTTTTGCCAACACTTATTTACTGGATAGTGATTTATTGGGTGGAAAGGGTTATCCACTCTTTGAACAAATGGGCCCAGGAAAAAAGGGAACAGGTACGCATCAATTTTTAAAATACTCTTTCAGTTCAACTGTGTGTGTTTCCTGTGCTTGTTTGCTAAGATGCCTTTTTTTTACCAGGTTATAAGTACAGAACAAACAACTAGGAGTATTTCTACTCTCCCTGGATGGGATGCTACTCCAGTGCAGGGTTACCCCCAGCAGCAAATTCGCCGGTACCCAGCTGTACCCATTTATACACCTGGGTGGAGAGAGGCACTGTGAGAGTAATCAGTCTTGCCTAAGAACACAACGCAGTGCCCTGGCCAGGGTTCAAACCCATATAATAAAATGTAATATTTTGGGGTGAACAAATCTCAGACATAATAAAACTTGACTAAAATTAAATGACCAGCATATGCTTAAGACTTAAATTTAAAAAAATAAAGATTTCCAGGCTATACCGATCAGAACAACACTAAGGAGAAGGAATGTTACCTCAAATACAGGATTGCTGTCCAAGTCGCGTTGCAGGGGTCGAATGTACGCCAGAGCCTGCCCCAGACCGGAGCTGTCTCGTAGGAAAGGTACCGAGTAACCACTTGCCGGAGGTGTTATGGTGGTGAGGGAGGAGTTACTACCCTGATGACCGGTTCGCATTATTTCAAACCCCCCACCTTCGCAGAGCTTTGGAAACGCTTCCTCTAACTTTTGACGAAACTCAGCGAACTTTGCTTTGTTATGGAAGCAGATTTTTCGTCTGCCCAGGCCAGCCTGTTGTAAGGCGAATTTGGCTGCTCTTGTTGGAGCTCGGGACTGGTCTTTCGCAGCCAAACAGAAGAACTCGTGTGTCCACGTTTCTTTTGGCTGAAATAGTTTTGGTTTCGGATAGTTCTTCTTGGTTTGCCTTGAAGATGACAAAGGAGTACTGTTATGAACACTGTAGGGGGCAAACAGTTTGCGGAAATTTTGCACAATACCACTTGCTCCAACCTGACCATGTGGTTGACGAATCTGTTCAGCTGCCGGTTGATCTGGTTCGCTATCACCCTCACTGAGAAGCGAGGTAACTTCTCGTAGAAGTTTAATTGCTTTAGCACTTTTGCATTCGTTTGGATTTTCTTGGTTTTCGTCGCGATCGCCTCTTCCACGTTTGTTGTCCGCCATGTTCGACAGAACGGTACACGAACACTGGTAATAATTAGAATAAATTATAGAGAGCGCGGGAAATGTTTCTCGCCCCGGGACTCCTCGTGAATTTCTTATCGCGAGGCTACCAGTCTACTTGCCGAACATAATTTGAGAAGCCGCGTTCCGAACGTAATTCGGAGGAGCCGAACAAAATTGGACCAAACTCAAAAAAACTGCCAGCCTAGTTATAAGTGAAATACTCCCAACACAATTCTAAAAGAGCCGAACATAATTCCATGCAACGCTGGAACATAATTCTGTAGTTCGGCCGAATGAAATATCAAACACCATAACATAATTTGTTTTCTAAATTTGACCCTAACAACGCTCCATAAAAATCCACAACCCCATGCTGTTAGGAGCCAGCACCATTGGCGGGCGACTATTTTCAGTTCCTCCACAAGAAAAGTCACTTACCGCTTCTTTGACCTGACCGAATTTAATCAAGCCTTCGCAAGACAAAACATTCTTTCGCTAAAAGAACGAGTAAGATGGAACGGGGAACTAGAAATAACAGAGCGCGATGAAGAGGAGTATGATCCCAGACAAGCTCTCCTTGCTGCCAAAAGCAAAGCCCATGGAGGTGCACCGAAAACCAGGATCACATGCATAAGTAATTTAGTAGTTGGGCCTGGAGAGGGTCGCGCTACCCGCGAAGTAGACCTTATTTGGTCGCTAAATCTTTACAACACTGCACATTTAGGGAAGATGTGCATTAGACTATATGTAAGCCGTATTCAACTTGTATAGTTTTGAAGGTTTGGACTAAATCTTCATGGCCGTTCCATACAGTCAAAGTTAAAAAAAATGTTTCGTTGGTTGTTGTCAATAATACTTAAACACCAGTTCAGTTAAGGAATTTCTCGTGTAAAAACTGTAGTGCATACTACATGTTAACTTTACAACTGCTGTAAACGTAGTAAATTGAATTTTTCAGACACACGGACGTAAATAAAATTTTTGACACATAATCTTGTTTCTCTTTACCGTTTTTGTACGATGCCAAGTCAAACAGGGATACAACTGTCCTGAAAAGCATCATTGGGGCAATAAGGATAAAAAAAGAGAAACATAAAGGCAAAAAGTAAATAATGTAAAAAAACACATACCCCGAAACAAACAGAGCCACTTGTGGAAAATGCCTGGAGTTGGAAATGTGTGACCACTGCGCTTCCTACTATACTAAAACTGTGCAGCTTCATCTCTTAGTATGATTGATCAATGCGTTACAATAATATTCCTCCATACGTCTACTACCAGTTAGACATTTCTCATCTGCACAGCAAGAATAAGAAAAAATGATCAGAAAACAGTTAATACATTAATGTCACCATCCATCCAATTTGCTAGCAACAAAGTCCTTTTCAATAGTCCTAAAAAGAATGGTTTCACTCTACCAAAGTATCTACTTTCAAGTGGGAACTTCTTACCATTAAAAAATACGTAGGTCCATGCAATATTGAACCTCCCAAAAAAGTTATACTCAAGATCTAAATAAACAAACACACAAACAAACAGCAAAGAAACAACCGTGATAGAATAGAGTATATTACCTCTTTTTAACTTCAACTGCAAGCTCAGTGAATAGGGTTTAGACAAAGTCATAATGGTGGCTTGTTTTATTACTAAAGCAGGTCAGCTGTTTGCAACTATAAAGTATACATGTACTTTTCCCAGGGTTCTCTAACCAGGAGACCACAAGATTAATTAAAGCATTTCTGCATGTTAACTGTAGCATTCAGGTATACTCTACCCAGGTGGCTACAGGATTGATTAGAGAATTTCTGCAAGTTAACTGTAGCATTCAGGTATACACTACCCAGGAGGCTACAGGATTGATTAGACAATTTCTGTATGTTAACTGTAGCATTCAGGTATACACTACCCAGGAGGCTACAGGATTGATTAGAGAATTTCTGCATGTTAACTGTAGCATTCAGGTATACACTACACAGGTGGCTACTTAAGGATTGATTAGAGAATTTCTGCATGTTAACTGTAGCATTCAGGTATACACTACCCAGGAGGCTAAAGGATTGATTAGAGAATTTCTGCATGTTAACTGTAGCATCCAGGTATACACTACCCAGGTGGCTACAGGATTGACTAGAGAATTTCTGCATGTTAACTGTAGCATTCAGGTATACACTACCCAGGTGGCTACAGGATTGATTAGAGAATTTCTGCATGTTAACTGTAGCATTCAGGTATACACTACCCAGGAGGCTACAGGATTGATTAGAGAATTTCTGCAAGTTAACTGTAGCATTCAGGTATACACTACCCAGGAGGCTACAGGATTGATTAGAGGATTTCTGCATGTTAACTGTAGCATTCAGTTATACACTACCCAGAATACCAGGGGATTGATTAAAGCATTTCTGCAAGTATCTACTATACCCAAAGAGTACAGAACTGATTGAAGAGAATGCAAAGTAATGGTTTGTGTAAGTCACAGGAGACTGCTCTTGGTCTGGACTCTCTCCTTTGACCTTGACTAGATGTTTGTGCATCACCGTCTTTATGGGCCTCAGGGTCATTGAGACGCACAAGCCCCTCCACCACGGCAAGGTGACAGTCTCAACGGAGAGGAAAAATAGTGACTTACCCTCAGGTATACACTACCCAGGAGAGTATAAGGTTGGTAAATCTGGAACCCTCAGGTATACACTACCCAGGAGAGGACAGGGTTGGTAAAATCTATAACCCTCAGGTATACACTACCCAGGAGAGCACAGGGTTGGTAAAATCTGGAACCCTCATGAATACACTACTTAGGAGAGCACAGGGTTGGTAAAAACTGGAACCCTCAGGTATACATTTAACACAGGAGAACACAGGGTTGGTAAAATCTGGAACCCTCATGTATACACTACACAGGAGAGCACAGGGTTGGTAAAAACTGGAACCCTCAGGCATACATCATGCAAGGTTGAGCACATAATGGAGCAAAAGAAATTCTGGGAGATTTAACAATCATATCCAGCTCATCTAAGGATCTGCAACATTAGTTCCTTTCTGTGGTTATCCATGTTGGAATATCTCCACTTGATATTGTTGACAGTTGCTGGTCCATTCCTGATGAAGTCTCTGGCAGCCATGATGACCCCAATCCCACAACTGCCAACAACAATCATATTACCATCAATGGGCAACTGTGAAGGCATTCCAAATCGCACAAATCCTTCGATGGAGTGCCAAAACTTTGTTTGTAGGGAAGGGTGACTAGGGAATAATTCAAGAAGGAGACCCAAAGCATCTTTGACCAATGGAAAGGTTACTTGAGGCACCACAGAGGTAAGCCCGTCATCAAAATACAAATGTTTATCAGAAAAATTGACATAGATAAGGCCCCAGTGGTTCACCATGAAGACAGGCACCAATATTTGTCACACATTCTCAAACAGAGCAACCTGGGAAGCCCTCTCTTTTAACTTCCTAAGTTTGAAACCTTTGTCTTGGACCTGCATCCACTGGAAAATATCAGTTGGTAAATACAATGTGTCCTCTTGCCCTTTTAAGTAGCTTTCTTCAATGTATTTGCTTATGGAAACATCAATAACAAAGCTATCAATGCACCTTTCTTCAGTAAGATCTGAGAAAGAAAGGACATCAATAGCCTTGTGGTCACATACCAGAATTCGACTTCCTGTTGGTTTGTTCCATAAAACGGTTTGAAGACATTCCAGCTCTCTTTGTGTGCAATTTACATCACTGAGCCACATAGCTTCTGAAGATACCTTGTGTTTTGTTTCAGAAATAGCACAAAACTTTTTCAGAATTCTCAAGCCTTGTTTAGAGAACTGGCCTAGCCCTGGTATAACAACACCAAATGGATTGTTTCCTTTTTTCCTTTCATCTGTCAGGAGAGCTTCAGCTCTTTCAATGACTGCTTGGCATGGACGTTGAACCACACAGAAGGGATTTGTAAATAACAAATCACTACCAGCTCCTTGACCAAGCATAGGGGATAGGAAACCAGCAAAAGAGGATACTGGGGGAATTAAAGTGGCTAGTGCAGCTAGTTCAGCTTTAGTGGATGCTGTAGATATGGCAGAAGACAGTTGATGCTCACTGCCATTGTTGGAGCAGTCTGCCTCCTCAGTGTCATCTTCATCTAGGATAATAACCTTCTTTTGGGAGGTTTCATTTCCAGGGCAGATCTTTTTGGGAGCTTTTTGGGAAGTATCCTGTGTAGGATGTTTGGGACCATGACCCTTTGAAGGCATGTCTTGCATTGCTGTTGTTGGCTGGTTTAAATATTCACTCTCCCACTGATCATGATTGTAATCAACAAGGGTTGAAAGAATATGTTCATCAACACTTGTTCCCTTGTCTTTATCATAAACATACCTCAAGAAGTCTACACCCAATAGCTGAGTAAACAAATTGTCTATTGTTAAACTCCAATCCTTATGCTCCTGGGACCAGTTTGCAGTGCTAATTGCCTTCCATCCAGATCCACGGAAGGAGAACTTTTTCTTTCCTACAGCAACTGGAATGAAACATAATGAGGACATTACTGTCTTCGCAAAATGTCATGATGGATGATATGCTTTCTAGGAGGGAGGAATGAAATGTTAAGGGTAAGTAAAATTTTCTTAATTTATCATGAAATGATTTTGACATGTGGACATAATGATTGCAGATTCATTAATTATGATCCTTGCATTTAATCTGTTGCATTTGTGCCCAAACAATATTAGTATTACAACATTTATAAAATTTAATAAAGAACTGTTTTTTTAAGTGCAAAATATTACTCAATTAGACGCTTTGAAGGTTTGTCCAGATATATATATATATACATTTGCCATCTTTACAATCACCAGGCATCAAAATGCATATCAAACTCACCAAGCATAATGCAGTTCTTGGCTTCACGAAAAGTATATCTTAATGACAACAGCATGGTTGAAAACCAGTGGGTAAGAATTTGATCCACTGAAATGATATATACAAAAAGAGCAACTAGTGTGAAATTTTTACTATATGTAAATTTTCTTTTTAGATACCTTTAATTACAAAATTTGTAAGGTGGATTTGAGCTTACGAATCAAAAGCTTCCCTTTAATGAGGCACTCAAATTTGTTGTCGCAGTTTGTAAGCACGTGTAACAACTGCTCATGAAGACATGTGGGCATTGTGGCCTAATGTGTTCATTTAAAAAATGTTTACAATTTGCTACATATAATATAAAAACAGCAGGAACATTTGTTATTTATTTGTTTATTTTTATTCTGTTTCACTACAATAACATATATTAATATAAGAAGAATAAGAAGAATGGAGGTAACAATGGCAAGGAGGCCTAGAAGAAACTATGAAGCTTATGTTAATTAAGCCAAACATTTTCGTCCAGCATCGCATTTGTCATGCACAACACAGGGTGGCTGAACGATCAAACATCAACAGCCATTTAAATGCAACGATAAGAGAGGCGGCTTTAACGGTAAATCCGTTCTCTTCAGTTCCAACACGATGTTGGACGAAAATGTTTGATCGTTTAGGCATAGGTTGCACTTGGGAAAAGTTTTCATCTTTGCCGGCTAAAAAACCACGAAAATTCGAAACCGCAACCGGAAAAGAAAACTTTTAGTCAAATCGAGGAGGGTCGCACTAGTATTTACTAGTGGGAGTTAATTGTCGTTGTTTTGACACATTGAGAACTAAAGTAGGCCAGATACCAGAGAACATTATCTCTTCGTAGTCCGATCATTTGGCGTAGGATCGTTTTCCTCCTTTCCCAGTTTCAGGAGGATGGGAGAAATAAAGAAAATAAAGTGCTTGGCTGCAAAGACTGCATTTAGCTCGGAGAATAACAAACCTGTGACGGTGCCTGGGTAGACTAAAATTGGCTCGCCTGTAGAGAGTTCCCGTAAAAACGTTGAAATAGCGAAGGATTACAAGCTTATGAATTGCTCGCCCGTAGAAAGTTTTCACAAAACGTTAAAATGGCGAAAAGTAGGGGTAGCCTCGTCCGTCCACAACGAAAACGCGAAGGTCAGAAAATTTCAACTATTGATTCAGATTGATCGTGTTTCAAATTGGTCATGTTTCGTTGACAAGTGCTGACACTTACCGCCGTGATTCCTATTGTTTAGCTCGAGTTTTCCAAAATCTGCCTGCCCCACCCAAGCAATACGGCGTCTTTGATGTTTTTCGCGATTTTCAAAGTTTTTTCCAACTCGAAAACTTGGGGTCGCACTTGGCAATGTGTCCCGATGACAGATTTTTACCACAAGGTAAACAAATTCTTCCAGAAATTTGCCAAGTGCGACCCATGCCTTAGTCGGAATAGTCGGGGCTTTAAAAACAAACAGGAACACAAATCAACAACTAAATCTTTTATTTTTATATTCGGCAGACTTATATTGAAGACCAGAACATGTAAATGTCTACATAATAGATTTAAATTACAGTCGTGATGTGCTAAGTGGCGATTTGCGGGTTTCGTTCGTGGGCATTTCCTAAAACTTTATTATGCTTGTTTGGATGTTTTTCCAAAGCCAGCAGCGTTCTTCCTGACCGCGGCTAATTAAACTGAAGTACATGTCGCAGTGTTCTCACCAGGCCGCGGCCTTGCGGGATTCCCGCAAGAAAAACTGAAATGGCGCATTAAAACCAAGAAGATGCGCCCGTTAGGGCGCAGGGGCAAGCTACGAGTCAAACGGACTTAAGTAGTTTTTATGGTCAACCTAACACTTAAGCATTCTGTTTGTTTGAATAAATAAAAAACATGATATCAAATGAGTCAAAGTCTTTAATTTTGTTGCCTTTACTTTCATTGGTCCCACGCACGTCCCACTACATCGTAAACTCCTCCTCCGAATCGTAAACACCTCTTTCGCCATATTGGATCAGGTAGGTACTTCATGTAACAGACAATTTGGAGTGCGGGCTCAGGTTCTTCGTACCGCGTGTTTTTTGTAACTTTGTCCCCCTAATGTTCTTACAGGGCCCCCATTTCTCAGAAGAGGGGGCCCTGGGACTCCCCAAGGCAAAATCCTGGTGAGAACACTGATGTTGTGCTGTTAAGGTGGCTCGACTGGATTTTTTGGGGTTGATACCTGCCCAGTTTGAGCCTTAACTACGTCGGCATGAGTAAAGATATGGGAAAAAGGTTACCACAGCTGTATTATATAAAGATGAAAATTTCTTATGATCTGGGTTTTATTGCAATCGGAGTCCCCATGGCAACGTAATGACGCCATTATGTTTTTCATTTATCTTTGTGTTTCTCTGTACCAGGAGTTTTTTGAAGAAATCGAGTAAGGGAGTACGTACCTGCCATAATTGCCTCCATTATGGCAAAGTTTGAACAAATTCTATGAGAGCGTTTTCGAAATATTTTAAAATGCAGTTTTAAGAATCGTAAAAACAGTGAAATAGCATGCTAGCCACACAATTCGCTGATATTTTAAGAAAATGATAAGCTTTGGGAACGCGGCTTCATCTCATAGTGGTTTGATTCCACTGAAAACTGCATACAAAGAAAGAGGGGAATTGCTCTGGGCAATTGCGAGTAAGAAGAATTTTATTAACTGGCATTCAGCTGCTTTTGATACAGTTTTTGGACGTAATTTGGTCCATGCCTAAAAATTTTTGCATTTTTCCAAAAACCACTCGATAAATTTTTTTATAAATTCGACAAACCCGAGATCAATCGTCAAGAAATATTCCCTGCAAGTTTAAAGAACATTGAAAACAGGGAAGGCTTTTAAATAGGGCCTCAAATATAGCCAATTTTCCTCCAAATTTTGTGTTTACAAGTGAGCGTCCTCATTATTCACTGACATTGTTTTCAAGTTTCATATACATGTGCACATTTAGCAAAAAGATAGAATTTGCATCAAAAAGGACCCTTGGTTAAATCTCCAGGATATGCTAATTACCGGGTAAAGAGTTTAGTGATACATTATAACATCAGAGCAACTCTTTGTGAGAGTTTCTGTGATGTTATAACCCGAGTACGATAATAAAGTATTGCATCCTACACGATGAGCCGTGACGTTCACCGTTTCGGCTCTCACTGCTATCTGTGACGACAAGCCAATTATTTGTATATTCCGGATATTTCTTCGGAAAGTAATCGAGAGTTCTTTTTTATGCAAATTTATATCTTTTGCTAGTTGCGCACGTGCATATGAAACTTGAAAACAATGCCAGTGAATAATGAGGATGCTCACTTGTAAACACAAAATCTGGGGGGAAAATTGGCTATATTTGAGGCCCTATCTCAAAGCCTTTCATGTTTTCAATGTTCTTGAAACTTGCAAGGAATATTTCTTGACGATTGATCTCTGGGTTGCCGAATTTATAAAAAAATTTATCGAGCAGTTTTTGGAAAAATGCGAAATTTTTAGGCATGGACCAAATTACGTCCAAAAACTGTATCAAAAGCAGCTGAATGCCAGTTAATAAAATTCTTCTTACTCGCGATCGCCCAGAGCAATTCCCCTCTTTTTTTGTATGCAGTTTTCAATGGAATCAAACCACTATGAGATGAAGCCGCGTTCCCAAAGCTTATCATTTTCTAAAAATATCAGCGAATTGTGTGGCTAGCATGGTATTTCACTGTTTTTATGATTCTTAAAACTGCATTTTAAAATATTTCGAAAACGCTCTCATAGAATTTGTTCAAACTTTGCCATAATGGAGGCAATTATGGCAGGTACATACTCCCTTACTCGATTTCTTCAAAAAACTCCTGGTACAGAGAAACACAAAGATAAATGAAAAACATAATGGCGTCATTACGTTGCCATGGGGACTCCGATTGCAATAAAACCCAGATCATAAGAAATTTTCATCTTTATATAATACAGCTGTGGTAACCTTTTTCCCATATCTTTACTCATGCCGACGTAGTTAAGGCTCAAACTGGGCAGGTATCAACCCCAAAAAATCCAGTCGAGCCACCTTAAATTTCCGCAAGAACAACACCTACTGGCTACACGCGTTGACATGTTTCGCTTGGTTGCTGACAGAAATGTTAACGCCATTATGGAATGTTTCGCTTGCTTGCTGACAGAAATGTTAACGCCTTTATGGAATACATGCTGAGATTTTTTTTTCTCTCCTAAGCTCCTCATGTAAAATCAAATGTATCCCGATCGTGATACATTAAGCAATGTATCCCGCTCGGGCTACATTGCAGCACGTGATCAAAGCATGGTGGAAAGTGGCATGACAGAAGGCGGGAAAAATACTGCCAGGTCCTGCCAGTTTTCTTTTTCGTGAATGAACACAACAACACAAACACGAAGCCTCAAGCTAAAAAGCAACGATTTTTAAAGTTATCCCAGAAGTTCCCAGAAGAAAAACAGCAGCTAGTGGAGGAAAATGATGCAGATAATATAAGGAAGGTACTTTGTAAATCATTCACTCAGTGGTTTTGAGAATTAAATTTGTGTTGCTATAAGTACCGAGTCGACTGTTTTGGTTCGCTCCGGTTATTCTCTTGTTGCTGTTGAAGTGAATGTCTAGAAACATAACAAAACACTTAATGTCAGGTCCCTCGGGAAACCAGTTAGTTTTGTTTCCCCTCGAGTCCTGATGTCTCCCTCGACTTCGTCTCGGGAAACATCAGGACTCTCGGGAAAACAAAACTAACTGTTTCCTTCGGGATCTGACATTAAGTGTATATTGTTGGAACCGATTAAGTTAGCCAGTTTCCTATCCAGTCTCTCTATTATCCATGTTTGAACTTGGAGACTCACCAACCGCAAAACGCTTCAGCAACCTTTTTTGACGAATTTTCAAGTAGCAATCAAAATACACTTACCTTTTCCGTTGGAATAGGAGGTAATGGTATCCTCGATGAAAAGAGAAACCACATTGCTGCTTCATTCGCGGGAAAAAATAAGCTCAAAGCCGCCTTTTTTGGCTCTTCGGACGCCTCACTTTGCT